AAAATAATGACCTTTATCACAATATGCTAATTTTTTGAGAAGGACCTCTATATATGTATGTGTATATGTATATATGTATGTGTTTATATATTTATGTGTATATATGTATGTGTGTCATAATATATATATATATAATAATAATAATAATAATTATTATTATTATTATTTTATTTTAAAAGCGCCTTTCATGACACCCAAGGACACTTTACAGTAAGAACAAAGATCAACAGGAATAAATTACATAAAGAATATAAAATACATAAAGAATATAAAATACATACAGAATATAAAATACATAAAGAATATCAAATACATACAGAATATAAAATGCACAAAGAATATAAAATACATACAGCGAAGTTAAGGATAAGCGAGTCTAAAGAGATGTGTTTTCAGAGCAGTCTTGAATATAGAAAGAGAGGTGGTGTTTCATAAGTCAGGGGGTAGAGAGTTCCAGAGATGAGGGGCAGAGCAGGTGAAGGCCCTGCTCCCCATGGTGGAGAGGCGGGCAGAGGGTACATGGAGGTGTAGTGAAGAGGAGGATCTGAGAGAGCGAGAGGGGATGGAGATGTGTAAGAGGTCAGATAGGTACGGAGGGACAAGGTTGTGGATAGCTTTGAAAGTGAGAAGAAGAATTTTGAAAACGATGCGTGATTTAACTGGGAGCCAGTGGAGCTGCTGCAGGACTGGAGTGATGTGGTTATAGGAGGAGGTTTGAGTGATGACACGGGCAGCTGAGTTCTGGACAAATTGCAGCTTCTGGAGAGATTTGTTGGGGAGGCCATAAAGAAGGGAGTTGCAGTAGTCAATCCGAGAAGTCACAAGACTGTAAACAAGGATGGCTGTGGAGCGGGGTGTGAGAGAAGGGTGGAGACGGTTAATATTTCGGAGATGGAAATAGGCAGACCGAGTGACATTGTTGATGTGTGAAGTGAAGGAGAGAGTGGTGTCGAGGATGACACCAAGACTCTTGATCTGAGGCGAGGGGGATAGCAGGGAGTTGTTAAGGGGGATGAGAAGATGTTCTGATTTTGAAATAGAGTTTTTGGTACAGACAAGAATGATTTCTGTTTTGTTACTGTTTAGTTGTAGAAAGTTGTTCGAAAACCAGTGATTTAGCTCATTGAGACAGTCGGTGAGGATGGAGGGTGGGTGGGTGGAGTTTGGTTTATATGTGTGTGTATATATATATACATATATATATATATATATATATATATATATATATATATATATGTGTATATATATATGTATATTTATGTATATATACATATATGTGTGTGTATGTGTATGTGCTGCCTGGCCCCCCCAAAAAAATGTCACCACCAAAAAAAAGGTCACACACTCATATTTGGTTGGACCGCCTTTAGCTTTGATTACAGCATGTATTCTCTGTGTCGTTTCAATAAACTTCTGCAATGTCACAAGATCTATTTCATCCAGTGTTGCATTAATTTTTCACCGAGATCTTACATTGATGACTAGGCCCTAGGCATGATGGATGCATCACTTCACCTGCCTCTCTTCTTACCCTGATGCGCCCATCACTCTGGAACAGGGTCAATCTGGACTCATTGGACCACATGACCTTCTTCCATTGCTCCAGAGTCCAATCTTTATGTTCCCTATCAAATTGAAGCCTTTTTTTTCCAGTTAGCCTTACTGGTTAGTGGTTTTCTTAAGACTACACAGCTGTTCAGTCCCAATCCCTTGAGTTCTCTTCACAGTGTGTGTGGAAATGCTCTTACTTTCACTATTAAACACAGCCCTGAGTGCTGCTGTTGTTTTTCTTCCATTTGATTTCACCAAACGTTTAAGTGATCACCGATCACGATCATTCAGGATTTCTTTTCTTCCTCGATGACGATGGGTCCCCACTATCCTTCCAGATTTAATAATGTGTTGGACAGTTCTTAACCCAATTTTAGTAGTTTCTTCAATCTCCTTAGATGTTTTCTCTGCTTGTTGCCAATGATTTGACCATTCTCAAACAGTCTGACATCTTTTTCACGGTTGTTTAAGAAATGAGAAGCAACTCATTGCACGAGTTGGGGTTAAATAACTTGTTGCCGCTGAAAGATAATCACCCATGCAGTAATTATCCAACAAGAGGCTCGTACCTATTTGCTTAGTTAAATCCAGGTGGCAACTTTTTTTGGGGGGGCCAGGCAGTTTATAAAATGTGCTTGATGAAAGTAACAGGAGGTCAGCCTGGTCTTTCTGTTGATGGCCTTCTTCTTCTTGCTCCTCTGCAGGGTGATTGACTTGGGTGTGATGGTTCCTTGTGATCAGATCCTCAGACAGGCTGTAACACACAAAGCTGGTAAGAAATACTAAAGGGTTTGGTTTCAGATTGTCTTTTCAGCATTGAGTCTGTTCAGTCAGTGTCCAGACTAAACCAGCACCAATAGACCGATTCTGATCAAACTCTCAGAAACTGAGCTTTTGGAGTCAGGATGGACTTCACAACTAATCAACCGTTACAAATTAAAACATAGCCATAATTCAGTTTTAGAAATGTGTAGCTAAGATTTGGTGTGGTAGTAGCTGAGTATCATTCTAACAAATAATCTAATTATTACACATTGTGAAAAAACTTTAGCAATAACCGTTGGAGTCAAACCTGGTTTTCTGTTAGCAAAATAACTCCAGAACCACTGGAAACATTTTAAGAACCATTGAAAAATTAATTGCCCAGTATACATTAAAAGCTGTTAGATTTTTTTGTGTCATCCCAGTTCAAGATGGCCAACATTAACAGAGTCAGTTGCTGGGAGTCAGAACACAGACCCTGAGCAGACATTATTAGACAGTAGGGCTGTAGGTGTGGCTCACTTTAAAACATAGTCACAATAGAAACCTTTGATTGTTAATCTATGGAAAACCTTATGACGAAACTCAGCCACACATTTAATTTTGTCTGTGTTTTTGTTTATTTTTGGGTGCACTCAGTAAACACAACTTTTTCTGATAAAGCCTAAAAATCCTGTTTAATTGTCAGAATTTTTCAAATTCTTTCATAACTTCAGTAACTTTACTACACTCTCATGTTCCTGAGGGGAAACATCTGCCACATTAAAATCACTGTAAATACAACTTTAAATTAATATTTATCCTATCATAAAATAATGCATTCCTCTCAGTAATGTTTTTTTTCTTGTTATATCTAGCCCTACACTTTTCATTTTTGTATTAGTCTTCTAGGTGGTGCACTACTCATACGTTTGAGAGCCTCTGTAAAATTGACCAACACGAAGTTCAACTCACCCTAGATGTCGACGTCAGAGTTGGCTGCGGAGTCCTGCCTCTCACCTCATCTGACAAAATTGTTCTAGTTTGGATGTAAATAGCAAAAACTCTCTTGAAATGTGCACAAGTAAACATTTAGTCTGAAAGATCTGTTTGACATGCATGCAGGCTGCAGGATCGGACGCTCCACAGCTGACGGCTGCTCACTGCAGTTGGTTTCCTCCAAAGCAGGACCTCATTAGCAGGTGCACCGTGCTTCTGCAGCTGTTATTACCTAGTATGTCCGGGTCAGGAAAAGCAAAAATCAATTTAGAAGCTAGCGTTTGTATCACAGGTAGAGAAAACAAATAGAGAAAATAATAATTTAAAGAGATGAAAAGATAATTAAAAGGGTGTCTGTCCGACCACAGAGGCAGACAGTACGGTGGTGTTTGAAAGTTTGTGAACTCTTTATAATTTTCTATATTTCTGCATCAATATGACCTAAAACATCATCAGAGTTTCATACAAGTCCTAAAAGTAGATAAAGAGAACCCAGTTAAACAAATGGTAAATGGACTGTACTTATATAACGCCTTTCTATCTTATTTCAAGACAAAGCGCTTTACACTACAATCTGTGTCCTCATTTACCCATTCATACAGCTCTATACTAGATCTATACAAAGATAATTGAACAAATCGTTCTAATGAGACTAATCGGTGCATTTAGATCACATTCATACACTGATGGGACACACATCGGAGGCAATGAGGGGTTCAGTGTCTTGCCCAGGGACACTTGGACATGTGACTGCTGGTGGATTTGAACCCCCAAATCTTGCATTAGAGGACGACTGCTCTAACCACTCGGCCACAGCCACCCTAATGAATGAGACAAAATATTATACTTGGTCATTTATTTATTTAGGAATAAATAAATAAACAATAATAAATAATGCATTTATTTATTTGAGGAAAATGATCCAATATTACATATTTGTGATGGTAAAAGTATGTGAACCTTTGCTCTCAGTCTCTGGTGTGACCCCAGCATGCAGCAGTAACTTCAACTAAACATTTCTGTAACTGTTGGTCAGTCCTGATCACCTTGGAGGACTTTTCTCCATTCCTCTGTACAGAACATCTTCAACTCTGGATGATGGTGGTTTCCTCACATTAACTGCTGCTTCAGGTCCTTCCACAACATCTGGATTAGATTAAGGTCAGGACTTTGACTTGTCCGTTCCAAAACATGAACTTTATTCTTCTTGAACATTCTTTGGTAGAACTACTTGTGTGTTTAGGGTCATTGTGTTGCTGCATGACCCACCTTCTCTTAGATCCAGTTCACAAACAGATGTTCTAACATCTTCCTTTAGAATTCTCTGATATAATTCAGAATTCATTGTTCCATCAATGATGACAAGCTGTCCTGGTCCAGATGTATCAAGACAGGCCCAAACCATGATACTACCTCCACCATGTTCCACAGATGGGATCAGGTTCTTCTGCAGGAATGCAGTTTTCTTTCTCCAAACATAACTCTTTTCATTTAAACCAAAAAGTTTATTTTGGTCTCATCGTCCACAAAACATTCATCCAACAGTCTTCTGTCTTGTCCACGTGATCTTTATCAAACTGCAGATGAGCAGCCATGTTGTTATTGAAGAGCAGTGTGTTTCTCCTTCAACCTGCCATGAACCATTGTTGTTCAGAGTTCTCCTGATGGTGGACTCATGAACATCGACATGAGTCAATGTGAGAGAGACCTTCAGTTGTTAGAAGTTACCCTGAGGTCCTCTGTGACCTCACAGACTATTCCACACCTTGGAGTGATCTTTGATGGTCCACCACTCCTGGGGAGGTTAACAATGCTCTTGAAGTTCCTCCATTTGTTCACAATCTGTGTGACTGTGGATTGGTGGAGTCCAAACTCTTTACAGATGTTTTGTAACATTTTCCAGCCTGATGAGCATCAACAACTCTTTTTCTGAGCTCCTCAGAAATCTCCTTTGTTCCTTCATGATCCACTTCCACAAACATGTTGAGAAGAGCAGACTTTGATAGATCCTGTTCTTTAAATCAAACAGGGTGTCAAACCTGATCATCTTCTACTGATTGAAAACACCTGACTCTAATTTCACTTTCAGATTAACTGATAATCCTAGAGGTTCACATACTTTTACCATAACAAGTATGTAATATTGGATCATTTTCTGACACAGTCTGTCCCTCATCTGTCTTTGTATTTCTATGTCTTCTCCTTTTTCTGCTTATTGTGTTTATTTCATTCTGCTTCTAGTGTCATTCTGTTCCTTGTGTATTTTGACTCTGTGTTTCATGTCAGTTTCCACTCACTCCTCAGCCGGCCTCTCCAGCCTCCATCTAATCATTCACACCTGTCCTTAATCAGCCATTTGTCCAGGCCCACTCATTACTCACTCTCCCTCTGCCTTATTTAAAGCTCTCCTCTCCTCCACTCTGCATCCTGTCATTGTTCTGTTTTGCACAGACGACTCAGTCCTCCTCTGGTCCTGTCAGATGATCTGTCTCAGCCAGCCAGTTGTCTCATTCCGTACCTGCTCGTCTGATGTTTACTTTTGTTCAGTTTATGCTCGCCTTGTGTTTGAGTAAGTTTTTGCTACCTCGTCAGCTTTTTGTTTTGTTGTTTAAACAAATTATTTTTATTAAAACTCCTGTCTTGCTCACCTGCTGGCCAACGGATTTGAAAACTGAGGATTGTGTCATTTTCCTCAATAAATAAATGACCAAGTATAATATTTTTGTCTCATTTGTTTAACTGTGTGAAGTGTCCCTCAGCCTGTGCTGTGTCCTGGCTGCAGTCAGTCTGGAGTATGGCAGCTCCTATCCACAAACTACTACTTCTTCTTTCGGTTTTTCCGTCTTCAGGGGTCGCCACAGCGAGTCTTCCTCCTCCATCTCTGTCCTCTACATCCTCTGTCCTCACTCCAACTACCTCCATGTCCTCTTTAACTGCATCCATATATCTACTATTTGTCTTTTTTCTGGCAGCTGCATTTCTAACATCCTTCTACCAATATACCCACGATCCCTCCTCTTGACATGTCCAAACCATCTCAGTCTGTCCTCTCTAACTTTATCTCCCAGTTGTTCAACCTGTGCTGTGCCTCTGATGATCTCATTCCTAATCTTATCCAGCCTTGTCACTCCTAAGGAGAAACTCAACATCTTAATTTCTGCTACTTCCAGTTCTGTCTCCTGTCTTTTTGTCCATGTCTCTGTCTCCAGACCATACAACATAGCTGGTCTCACCACTGTCTTGTAAATTTTCCTTTGACCTTTGCTGACACCCTTTTGTCACAAATCACTCCTGAAACTTTTCTCCATCCACACCATCCTGCCTGGACTCTGTTCTTCACCTCTTTACCACATTCCCCATTTTCCTGGACAGTGGACCCCAAGTACTTGAAGTCCTGCACCTTTGTGACCTCTGCTCCTTCTAGTCTCACTGTTCCACTGGCCTCCGTCTCATTCACACACATGTACTCTGTCTTACTATGGCTGACTTTCATTCTTCTTCTTTCAAGTACATACCTCCACCTCTCTAAGTTCTCTTCCACCTGTTCCCTGTTCTCACCACAGATCACAATGTCATCTGCAAACATTATAGTCCATGGGGATTCCTGCCTGACCTCATCTGTTAATCGGTCCATCACCAGAGCAAACAAGAAGGGGCTCAGAGCAGATCCTTGATGCATTCCCACATCCACCTGTCACTTCTGCAGCACATCTCACCACTGTCCTGCTGTCCTCATACATGTCCTGTACCAGTCTAACATACTTTTCTGCTTCTCCAGATTTCCTCATGCAATACCACACCTCCTCCCTCGGCACATATGCTTTTTCTAAATCCACAAAGACACAAATGAGTTCTTTCTGACCCTCTCTGTACTTCTCCATCAGCATCTTTAAAACAAACATGGCATCTGTGGTGCACTTTCTTGGCTTGAAACCATACTGTTGCTCACAAATACATGTAGTCACCTCTTGTCTAAGTCTAGCTTCCACAACTCTCTCCCAGATCTTCATTGTGTGACTCACCAACCTAATTCCCCTGTAGTTACTACAACTCAGTACATTACCCTTGTTCTTAAAAATGGGCACCAGCTAGGGGTTGAATGACTATATAATTTTTATACTCGACATTAAGATAATGAAACTCGAGTATAACTCGAGTACTTGATGACATCATAGGATCTAAAGTTACAAAAATAAATAAAACCGCAAAAAAGGTCATTATTTACAAAAAGGTCAACAAAACATGGGGAGCATATATTATGCTCCTACCATTTATTATACTGCAAATAAGTCACAGGAAAAACTAAACTATTAGTTATTATTATTAACCTGCAAAGTTGAAAGAAACATGTGGCATGTCAAAAACGAAACTAAAAACAGTGGGGCGGACGACCACCCCGCACCACCGCCAGCTGTGGTGCGCATTAGGTTTAGTTTTAGAGATTATTATGTTTATAGTTTTTTTTTATAGGTTTAGAGATTAATATTTTTTGCTATTTGTTTGTGAAACAAAGTCAGAGGAAGCTGGTTCTGGTTTAGTGCATGCAACACTGCCTCCTATGGTCATAATATACAGTGGTCACAGAATATGGTGTAACACCGGTTCGCAACAAGCTCCAAACAGTCAGGAAGTTGATTTATTTTCTGTTTCCTTATGATAGTTGAACTGGAAGATTAATCTTTAGTGAAATATTTCCATACTATTGATTTATTTCTACCTGTTTGTCAAGACTGGGCCTGCTCCGTTCCATTTGTCTGCTTGGAGGAATCCATTTTGTAAGCCACGCCCGTTGCGGATCACGTGACACATGATGCGATGACATAACGGTGGCGTAATGACGTCACCACAATACTCAACGTGAAATTAAAAAACTCGATAGATGTCCTAGGAATCGATGTGTAGATTACTCGAGTAGTCTGTTAAAGCCCTAGTACCAGCACACTTCTCCATTCCTCAGGCATTTTCTCACCCTCAAATATACCATTGAATATTTGAGTCAAAAACCTCACTGCCATCTCTCTAAGACATTTCCAAACCTCCACTGGTATGTCATCAGGTCTCTCCTATCAGTACAAGTCCTTCTCACCCCCTTTAGTGTCCAGTCTCCCATACAACCCATCAACTCATCATGAAGCTCTCGACCTTGACCTCTCTAAGTGGCTTTAAGAATCTGTTGGACTCCTGGCAGGGACCAATGCAGACATGTTCCTGTTTTTAGTTTTCTACATTCACCTTAGAATCTAGCTGTTTTTTGTTACTTTTCTTTTTTTTAGCCATCCTATTTGTTAAAAAAAAATCTGTATGCCTTTTTATAACTGTCTATTGTCGCTGTTGTCTATTGTTGTCGTCATTCTTTGTTGAAATCAGGTCGCTTGTAAATGAGTCCTTGAGGCTCAATGATATTTTCCTGTCTAAATAAAGGTTGAATGAATACGCTGTTAAAGATGGGAGCTGGCTGCGGGCCACCGGATCCGGGAACCCCCTCCAGCCCACGTCTTTACCCCCGGCTCGAACCTCCTTCAGAAGTGGCAACTCATGCTAACAAATAAATCAATGAGACGTCAATTAAGTTTTATCAATTATATTAAAAAGGCAGAAGAAGATTACAGTTTTACAACGCTGGACTCTCCGGACTGTCATGCGTACACAGACCCGGAAGAGCCCCGAAGTCCCGTGTCATCACTAATTTATGGGGTCCTATGACTCCTCCTTTCGCAGAAGGGGAGCTAAGCCTATCAGTGTATGAGGGGGCGTGGCCTTATTGTGATCTCAGGGATCTTATGTGGACTGACATGTTAGGAAAAATATGAGACGGTGCTTCAAAGCCTTTCTACGTGATGTGGCAAGCAGATTAAAACTATTTGACTGATATTGAAATCCCAGGGAGACTCTCTTGAGAGCTGCTGGCCCAGTTTAACCAGTGGTGGAGAAAGTACTCAAACACTGTACTTAAGTAAAAGTACAAATAAACAGACAAAAATGTACTCTAATAAAAGTAGAAGTACCACATTAACATTTTTACTTAAGTAAAAGTAAATAAGTACTTGCTTTTAAAATACTTAAAGTATTAAAAGTAAAAGTACTTGCTGAATGTATTACATAATGCAATGGTCTACATATCTTTGTCTGCCTACCATATGTATATTTTCTGTTATACATTAATAGTGTTGTGCCATTTAATGAACAATGCTGCAGATAATACATGTTTTTATTGTGTTTACTCTGTGACACATTTCACACTTGGACTTGTGATTCTGTGCGTCAGAATTTCAGGGATGACCTGCAGAATTAAATGTCATTAATCAAAATAAGAAAGAGTAACGATTATACTTTTAAAAGTTTTTATTTAACACAAAGCAAAACCAATGTGCCATTTTAACTGCAGTAAACACATTTAAGTAAAAGTTGTCTGCCTGAACAAAAGGGGCATTAGACACAACTAACAAAGGAATAGGCTCTGATCATTTCCACTGATATTTCAACTCCAGTTTGTCATCAACTGTAGTTAAAATACTGTAGTCGACCTTGTAATGGGTCAATATTGAACAATATGTTAACTTCCTGACATCATTTTTAAAACTTGGACCTGAGTGTCGAGCCATTTGGAGACATCTTTTGTCTCCTAACGTCCCATGAACTGACATATTTTAATATTGTAGCAATAATTTCTTGTTCAAGTTCAGAAGAAGTTTGTTTTCAAAGATTTTTGAGTTCAATCTGGCTCTTTTGGGAGAGAGAATCTGTCCTGTTGTACTGAGCAGTCTTTCAATAAGGACACGGGTGGAGCATATCTTCTGGCAGACTCTCTTGCGCTGGAATACATTTTGGGTGTGTTACGGGTGCACCCAGCTCAGTGACATATATATACTAGAATATATGTCATTGGCCCAGCTCTTCTTGAAGGCGGGCTTAACGTTACCTGCCCACTTTACAGTGATTCAATGGACCAGCTCCTCTCTCACCGTTGGTTACTTTCAAAGTAACAAACAAATCAAAAAGCCGCAACATGAATGTAACTTGTAATGCGACGCATTATAGAAATGTAGTGTAGTAGAAAGTACAGATACTTGATGTAAAATGTAGTGGAGTAAAAGTATAAAGTACCCACATTTAACTCTACTTAAGTAAAGTACAGATACAGGAAAAATGTACTTAAGTACAGTAACAAAGTATTTGTACTTAGTTACATCCCACCACTGAGTTTAACCCAGTCAGAACTGGGTCATAATTTCATTATAATCCCGTCTCTGAGCAGATCAAATCCATAGGTCCAGTCTAAATAAGAAATATCTTAACAACGCCCTCTGCTTTGCCTTTGCTACCTCCCACTTTGCTCTACGTCCCATCTCCTTATGTTCCTGTCTCCTCTCTTCAGTCCTCTCACTGTCATATTTCTTCTTGACTAACCTCTTTCTTTGAACGGCGTCCTGCACTTCACTATTCCATCACCAGGTTTACTTATCATCCATTCTCTGTCCAGATGACACACCAAGTACCTTCCTACCTCTCTCTCTAATTATTGTTGCTGTAGTAGCCCAGTCATTTGGAAGCTCTTTCTTACCACCCAGAACCTTTAACAGCTCCTCTTTGAATTTCTCACAACATTCTTTCTCACAACATTCTTTCATCTTCATCTTCCATCATTTGGTCGTCTTCTCTGATTTTACTCTTTTTCTCTTCTTCACAACAACAGTCATTCTACACACAGCCATCCAATGCTGTCTGGCCACGCTCTCCCCTGCCACAACCTTACAGTCTCCAATCTCCCTCAGGTTTCCTCTTCTACAAAGAATGAAGTTGATCTGCGTACTCCTTCCTCCACTCTTATAGGTCACTCTATGCTCCTCCCGCTTTTGGAAATATGTGTTGACTACAGTCATTTCCATTCTCTTGGTGAAATCCACCACCATCTGTCCTTCCTGGTTTCTTCCCTTGACACTAAACATACCCATCACTTCATCATCCTCTGTTTCCTTCACCAACATGTCCATTCAGGTCTGCGCTGATCACCACTCTCTCCTCCCTGGGAGTACTCTCTATCACTTCATCCAGATCTTTCCAAAATGTATATTTCTCCTCTACATCACTTCCAACCTGTGGAGCATAATCATTGACAACATTTAGTATCAGACCTTCTACTTCTACCTTCAGGCACATCACCCTATCTGACACTCTCTTCACCTCTACTATATTCTTTGCCAACTCCTCCTTCAGGACCACCCCTATTCCATTTCTCTTTCTATCCACACCATGGTAAAACAGTTTGAATCCTGCTCCAATGCCTTGCTGCCCTTCCATTTGGTCTCTTGGACACATAAAACATCTACCTTCTTTCTCTGCATCATGTCAGCTCTCTACCTTTGCCTGTCATTGTCCCCACATTTAGAGTTGCAACCCTCAGTCCTACATTCTTCACTTTCCTCTTCTCACTCTGTCTCCTGACACGTTTCCCTCCTCGTGGTCTTCAATTAACAGTAACACAATTTCTGCCAGCACCCTGTTTGTCAACAGCACTGGTGGTGGTCGTTGTTAACCTGGGCCTTGACCAAACCGGTATGGTTTCACTTTGATGAACTCGCATTATGTTTTTGGCAAAAGTATTTTGCATCTGATGCTGTTCCTGACACAACCCTCACAAATTACCTGGTCTTGGGACCGGCACAACAGTTACACTGGCTTGTGCTCCCTATTGACTGGTCTATCCACAAACTCCTATCCACAAACCATCAGAGTAAATGGTTGTTTGTCCTTTCCTCAGATATCATTGGCTTGTCTGGCCTCATCACTCCATCTCTGGATGAAATGATTCATGTGGCTAAAGAAATGGAGAGACTCGGAATGACAACACCAGTGCTAATTGGAGGAGCCACCACTTCAAAGTAAAGCAAGAACCTGTACACTCATACAGAATAGAGAAAATGAAAGTCTAACAGAGTTGTGTAAGTGTGTAGAGTCCAGAGTGAAGTTGTGGGATCTGTGGAAACTGTTTTTGTGTTAAACAGGACACATACTGCAGTGAAGATCGCACCCCGCTACAGTTTCCCTGTGATCCATGTCCTTGATGCATCCAGGAGTGTGGTGGTGGTAAGAACTACTCAAAATCCTTTATACCAGCTGCAGTGCAGCTGTTCAGAGCAGGAAGTTGTCAATAAGATCTTAACTGGTGTAATACTATGCCTCAGCCAGGGTTCAGTACGTACCTTTACATGTTCAAGAAATAGGAAGAAGAAAAACACCAAATACTAGTTTTTTTATACTTGTTTGTTTGTTTGTTTGTGTGTTGGCTTTAGTTTTTAAACAAAATCCTTCCAGAAGCATAGAAAGAAAGACTCAGAACTGCCCTACAAAAAGTCATATTGTAGAGTTTTTTTAAAATTTCTTATCTAAATACAGTCCCAAATGAAAGCGTAGATCTTTTTAAATGGTTTGTATGGGTTCCCAGCGAGAAACGCAAGTTCTGAAAATAGATAAAGAGAACCCAGTTAAACAAATTATACTTGATCATTTATTTATTGAGGAAAATGATCCAATATTACATATTTGTGATGGTAAAAGTATGTGAACTTCTAGGATTATCAGTTAATCTGAAGGTGAAATTAGAGTCAGGTGTTTTCAATCAGTGGATGATGATCAGGTGTGAGTGGACACCCTGTTTGATTTAAAGAACAGGATCTATCAAAGTCTGATCTTCTCAACATGTTTGTGGAAGTGGATCATGGTGGAACAAAGGAGATTTCTGAGGAGCTCAGAAAAAGAGTTGTTGATGCTCATCAGGCTGGAAAATGTTACAAAACATCTGTAAAGAGTTTGGACTCCACCAATTCACAGTCACACAGATTGTGAACAAATGGAGGAACTTCAAGAGCATTGCTACCCTCCCCAGGAGTGGTGGACCAACAAACATCACTCCAAGGTGTGGAATAGTCTGTGAGGTCACAGAGGACTCCAATAACTGCTTGCAGTTCTGGTTCTTTTAGTACTTTTGTTAGTAAGTATGTAATTCCTGTGGCAGTAATGTTATCTTGTTGCTGAAAAGTCATTTTTTGAAGTTGAAGAAAGACCAAGGCAGCAAAAAATATTTTTTGGTTCTTTTATTTGTTCTGGTTTTAATCCTAATAGAGATTTTTTTTCTGTTATATTTTTGGCTCAGTGCTCACAGCTGCTGGATGAGGCAACAAGGGAGGAGTATATTGATGACGTGAAGGAGGAGTATGAAGAGGTCAGACAGGACCACTATGACTCCCTGAAGGTGAGTCCTGGTTTACATCAGAATGAATTATTGGACAAGGGTTACTGGATTCGGTCAGCACGGTGGCAGAGTTGGTAAAGCTGCTGCCCCTCAGCGAACAGGTTGCCCCAGTTCATATCCCAGCCGGGGGCATTCCTAGGTGGAATATGCATGTTCTCTCCATGCATGCGTGGATTTCCTCCCACAGACAAAAAGCATGCATGTTAGACTGATTGGTAACTCTAAATTGTCTCTAGGTGTGAGTGAGAGAGTGAATGGCAGTTTGTCTTGTTTGTCTCTATGTGTCCCTGTGATGGACTGGAGACCTGTCCAGGGTGTCCCCTGCCTCTCACACAGTGATGGCTGGACATGGGCACCAGTGACCCCTGCGACCCAAAAGGGAAGGAGCAGGTAAAGATTCATTCAACCTTTATTTAGACAGGTGTAGTGAATGTGGGACAGCTTTGCTGTAGCTTCACTACTAATTAATTATTCTTAAAGCTAGTTCAAGCACAAAGAATATTAATTATTTAAATACAACAGATTCTTTCTTTTTCGAGTTAAATTAATGCCATGTGACCGAGATAACTGTGAGGATTGTTTAATCAGTGACATGAGACGCCATTTTATCTTTGACCCATCAGAATAAATGCAGTCATTTATTTAACAGAATCAAAATTTAACATCAAAACATGTACACATTAATTTGCTGATCTAGTTCTGATTAATAAAACTTGGCACGCTTTACTAACAAGACAACAGAACATTTCTGAAGTCATCTAGATTACTGGCAAAATAGAAAAGTTTAAAGGACGGAATGGAGAAGTTTAAAGAAAGATGGATGAAGGAAGATGTATGTTTGTTGACCAGAATTAGCACGCTTCTTTCAACACCAGCTTAAACCCCCGGTCCACTTGGTGCGTGGCAACTCGTGACGTCTCTTTACCTTTGCAGAGGATGGATCAGCTCCGGTCTAGATGTATGTCCCTATGCACGCTACCTTTACAGCGTCTCCGGTCAGGGTGGCTGGTCATCGTCAGAAGTCGTGTGGTTTTTACTCCGTTCAACAGAACAAGCTTCCTTTGAAGATTTAGGGCGTTACGCCCGGGTGAGTTCACAGCGAGGGGCTGTGACTCCAGCTGGGATGGACGGAACCTCGTCTCACGGTCAAATCCATCAGCTATTGATTAAATCTGAATGTTCCTTAGGAACTCTCAGGAAGACTCCATAATCCCAAGAAAGACTCAGGAAAACTGAAGTGGAAGACTCCGGTGAAAGACTCAAGAAGACTCAGAAGACTGAATAGTTCCAGGAAGTGTTGACTTTTAAAGAGTACTCACTTCCTGATTGGTTGAAACAACCAATAGGGGCGGTGTTTCAGTGATGTCAGAGGGTTATTAGGAGTCAAAAAGACAGCAGGAATGTTTACGAACGTTTAGTACAGACAGAGGAATGTTATGGCGAAGTGAGACAAACGCAGATGCCAGCTTCTTATTTACTGTCTGCTAGGTTTAAAAACAAGACACTTCGTTCTAATAACTTGCTTTCTGACTGTCTCTGACTTTCGACCGACATCCCTGACTTCTGACCGACATCACTACTCCTCATTCAGACAGAAGATCAAAATGCACAATTACTTTGTAAATAGACATTTAACTTGATTTCTAAATATGCTGAGGTTTAAAAATCATTAATACTGTTTCACAGTTGATTTAAAATGAGTGGTTCACTTCAACATTTAGAAATGGTATGAACTAAACACACTTTGATTATCAAGAACGTATTTACATTAATTAGCATATCATGATATAATTAATTTTCCTGGGCAAGCTTTAACTGGTATTATTGCGAACAATATGATATGGCCCAGCCCGTAGTATACGCTTCACTGGGCTGCTGGATCCAGTATGGCTGATTTAGGTGAATTCACTTCAAAACGAGTGAAGAACAGATTTGTTTCCTCTGCCAGCGGGGCATCACCTTCAGTCACTCCAAGGTTCTTTTTAAAGTTTGTGAGATGCTGTATTCCCTGCCACACCTTCCTGTTGTTGTTGCAGTTCAAGTGGTCCTCACTCCTCCTCCTGTAGTCTGACTTAGCCTTCCTGAGCCTCTCTTCAGGTTGGCTCTTGCTACACTGTAGTGCACCTAGTCACCTGACCTGAAAGCGCTGTTTGACCTTGGGACATCCAGGGTTTCTGGTTGAGGTAGACCTGGTTGCATCTGTCCACTGTGACCGTGTCTATGCAGTTTCTAATGTAGACTGTCTGTGAACACCTCCAGGTCCAGATGTTCAAAGAGGTTCCAGTCTGTCCTTTCGAAGCAGTTTTGTTAAGGCTATAAAAGCCTTAGTTTTTAAAGTGATATTTTCTCTATAGAACTAATCGGTTTCTCAAGGTTAAAATTTGAATCATACATTGCCCTGAAATGTTTTACGTGCAGTTTTACAAACTGAGCTAAGCTGTTTAAATCTAAAGGAGAAGCACTGTGGTTTGCACTGGGAATAAATATAACTTCAGTTTTGTCCTCATTGAATTTTAGAAAGTTTGAAGTCATACAGGCTTTTTCCTCAGTGTCAAGTCAAGCAGTGGTTTTAATTAATTGATCTGTGTCGTCAGCGTACGACTGAAATGAGCTGTTAACGTTTCTGAAGATTTAGCCTAAGGGGAACATGCAGATAGAAAATAAAATGGGTCCAAGAGTTGATCTTTGGGTAACTCTCTACATATGACAGGCTGAGGAGGAAACGGCTTCTCAAAGGCTTACAGAGAAACTCTGTGAGACATGTAGGACCTGATCCAGTCTAAAGCAAAGCCTTTATTTCACGATAATTTTTACTAACAGACAAAAAGAGCTGGCTCCACATATCATATGGTCAAGTTTTAAAACAGATCTTGCTACATGTTTGAATGGGGTGGGTGCTAGTGAAAAAAAATTGCTGATTGCAAGTCTTCCTGCAAATCTACTGCATCTGCCAAAGTTTTAAGTCAGATTGTTTCACGTTGATGTGTTAGGGATTCCTCTGTGCCCCAACCACACCAAATGTTAGCTCAGCATCTGTAACACTGATTTAGTTAAGGCCATGTATTTGTTCTAAGACTAGATGGTTGTGGCAGTCATCTTGACAGGTTGATTCCATAAGTAAATCTGTTGTAGAGGTCCACTCAATGAGTGATTTCTGCAAGTTCCATTAAAGTTGGCCCAGTGTTTCATGAAATATTTTTCTAACAGACACAAGGGGATAAGTGTTCATGGTTCAGTGCTTGGACCAATTACTTTATAGATGCTATATATATTACTTGATATATGCTTCCATTAGGTATTGTTATTAAACAGCATGGGATAAATTTTCATTGTTATGCTGATGTAGTGGACTAGGCCTGATGTCGAAACCTTGACCTTAGGCACCTTGTGGGACAGAAACTGTCATTTCATTGATTTGAATCCAGAAATACAGGTTCACCCATCCTGAGACTTTCTTTCTTGAAAATTCAAGTGAAAGAACACTTTCTTTTCTATTATCATTACTGTTTTACAAATGTTTGATAATCAAAGTGTTTTAGTTCAAACCATTTTAGATGTTGCAGTGAACTAATCATTTTTAATTAACTGTGAAAACAGTAACAAAATTTTTTAATCCTCATGCAAAGTTAGAATTCATGTTAAGGCCTGTTACAGAGTAATTATGCATGTTCTGATTTTCTATCTTTGAATGAGCAGTGTACGTTTGTTCCAAGGTCGGAGTCGAAGCAGACAAGTGTTGGAACAACTGTCTTGTTTTTAAATCCTCTCAGACGTAAACAGAGAAGTTGGCACCTGTTTCTCCAAACTCGCCCAAACATTTCTCTCGCCTGTCTGAAAAACATTTTCAATCTGTTCCATAACATTCTTGCTGTTTTCTGACTTCTAGTAACCTTTTACGTCACAAAACACACCCCTGTCTGGTCGACATTGACCAATAAGAAAACTCCCAAATGAACCGGAAATAGAGCCCTTTAAAATGTCGGTACTTCCTAGTTCTCTCAAGTTTCTGTGAGTTGCCGTTGGAGTCGGGCTGGAGAGTTTGCAGCTCCAGTCGTTTGGGAGAACAGAAGTCCAGCCATGATAAGGCTCTTCCGAGATTGGGATTATAACATCTTCCACCTCTGAGTGGAACTCGGACGAACCCCACTCATGTGAGGTCCACTGGCTGAGGTGAACTTGTGTCAGACGGAATATCGTCACTACTTCGGACGAGTCACAGCCATCCTATGGAGACGCTGGACAGGTAGCGTTAACTGGAACTCCGTATCCGCCGATTCATCTTCAGAAAGGTAACGAGTCAAGTTCACTACCGAGCGTACCGAGGAAAGCTGGGTTCGAATGGAGAGTGTCGTTTCTGGTCAACACTCTCCCTCACACACCATCTTTTACTCCCTTTAAACTTCATTTTCCATCTTTAAATTCTTCTATCAAGTAGAAATCATTCCAGATATTTTAGAAATGTCTGTGTAAAGTCTCCCAATCACCGCCGTGTGGTTGATCATAATTGTACAGCTTACTGATTAATTATGTTGTTATTTTCATATTTTGCCAAATTAATGTAAATGTTTGATGTTAAACTTTGATTCTGTAAATAAATGACCACATTCATTTTGATGGGTCAAAGATAAATAACGTCTCACGTTACATTTTATTAAATTCAATGCACGTTTATATTCAGTCCAGAAAAATGAAAGAATCCGTTTTAATCAGGTGAATATCTCAGGATATGTTCATCTACATACTGGTGGCCCGTCCGTACGTTTCCACCACACTGATGACACGTAATTATATTTGTCCATGAAACATAACGAATCTAATCAGCTACTTAGACTACAAGCATGTCTTAAAGACATAAAAACCTGGATGACCCTAAATGTTCTGCTTTTAAACTCACATAAGACAGAGGTTGTGGTTTTTGGATATGAGCATCTTAGGAATTAATTTAGCAGTCTTTAACTTCCTCTGGATGGCATTAATCTGACTTCCAGCTCTAATGTTAAAAATCTTGGTGTTATTTTTGATCAGGACATGTCTTTTATCCCCCACATTAAAAACGTTACTAGAACCACCTTCTTCCACCTGCGTAATATCACTAAAATTAGAAACATCTTATCTAAAAAATGATGCAGAAAAACTGGTCCATGCATTTGTCACGTCTAGACTGGACTATTGCAATGGTTTATTATCTGGGTGTCCAAATACTTCTTTAAAACATCTTCAGTTGATCCAAAATGCTTCTGCCAGAGTCTTAAATGGAGTTAATAGGAGAGATCATATCTCTCCAGTTTTAGTTTCTCTCCAATGGCTCCCTGTCAAATCCAGAATAGAATTCAAAATCTTACTTCTAACCTACAAAGCTCTCAACAACCTAACTCCATCTTATATTACAGATCTTCGCTCTCAGGCTGCAGGTTTACTTGTGTTCCCTAGAGTTTCCAAAAGCAGAATGGGAGTCAGAGAGCTTTTGTGGAAACAACTTCCAGTTAATGTTCATGAGCCTGGCACATTGTCTACTTTTAAGATTAAACCCAAGTCTTTCCTTTTTGATAAATCCTATAGTTAAGGCTGGTTTGGGTTTCCTGAGCTATCCCTTAGTTATGCTGCTATAGTCTTAGGTCGTTTTCACACTAGATAGTCCGGTAGACTCGGTTCGGTTCGGGACCAATATTCATGACCTTTTGTTTACATTTGAGCTGGTGCGTTTGCATTCACACTGCACTGTGCAGTCGAGTCAACCTGTTGAACCAACCTATTCCCCCGCTCGCCTGAGGGGGCGCTGCACCAAGAACTACTGAAAGAAACGACACAAAAACCTCTGAAGACACGTCTTCTTCTTCTGTAAATAAAAATAAAAACTAAGTGGCATCAAGTTTTAGCAGTTTTAGGAGTTATATTTTGTCATTTTTCAAAAATGGACTTAGCATGAGCAGAAGATGAGGCAGAAGACCATGGAGAATATTGTTTTTCACACAAGGCAGCTGACGGCTCCATATAAGGTCAGAGAAATGTGTGTTTGTTTACCCTGTGGAGCGGGGCTCGGTCTGTATACATTCACACTGTACTCGAACCGCGCTGGAGTTCTCTTCTACCGGACCGAGACCTAGGTTTTAGCCCGGGCCAGAGTTTGCCTTTTTGTTCCGTGACAGAGTTCGATGGTGTGTTCACACCTCCCTAAACGAGCCAGACTTTCAAGGAAAACAAGCTAGAGTTCGATTAAAGCGGACTAAACAGGGCTAGTGTGAATGCACCCTTAGACTACTGGAGGACAAATTGACCACATTTCCTCATTCTGCTTCTGTCTTTACTTGCTCTACTCTACCTGTTTGTATTTGTAATTATCTCTATCCTTAACTTGCATTTTTTTTATCTATCTTCCAATATGGGGTACACCTGGACCTGTCATTCTGTGTTTGTTTGTTTCTCCTTCCTGTCCTCTCAAACCCAGCCGGTCGAAGCAGATGGCCGCTTGTCCTGAGCCTGGTTCTGCTGGAGGTTTATTCCTGTTAAAAGGAAGTTTTTCCTTTCCACTGTTGTCTTTGTGCTTTCTCAGGATGAGAGACTACGACAAAGTGAATATTCAACACAATCTGCTGGGTTCCTTAGATATATAACTTTTACTACTTGGCTTTTTTAATTTATATGAATGTTTTTGTACAGTGCCCTGAGATGACTTTTGTGATTTGGCACTATATAAATAAACTGAAATGAATTGAAGAAGACACAAAAACATGAGAAAAAACATGAGTCCCACCTTTGTCTTTTCGTAGCAGGCAACATTTAGAGTTATGGCTGAACTGTTTTAAACTTTGAATGTGTTGCATAATGATTTGTACCTGTGATTTATTGTCTGTTTGTTTCTGTATTTGTTCCAGGATCGCCAGTATCTGCCTCTACCGGAAGCCAGGAGGAGGTCTTTACACATTGACTGGCTTTCTTTGCCTAAACCAGGTGAGCTGGTACAGATGAGATGAATGAATGTCTCTGACAAATGCTATTGTACACATTTCTAGTAATTGTTTTGGGAGAAATCAAAGTCTGTATTAAAATCAAACATAGCAGCTGTATGCTGAAAGTAGGAGTTATTTTTTGTTTTGCAGTGCGTCCTCAGTTTCTGGGCACCCGTATCTTTGACTGCTACGATCTGAACAGTCTGGTAGACTTCATTGATTGGAAGCCTTTCTTTGATGTGTGGCAGCTGAGGGGCAAATACCCCAACAGAGGATACCCCAAGATCTTCAATGACAAGACTGTTGGTAATGATTTTGTTCTTGTCTTCTGGATCAGTCACCCTTTAAATCTGTAAGACTTCACCATACAGGGCATGTTTGTTCTTAAAAGGAAATGACTTGCAAATGCATTTGTAGTTTTGTTATTCATTTTGTGGACCAGCCCATTTTTAGTTGGCTTTTAAACTTCTGAACAGTGTGTACAGGCACTTGTCACAGGTGCTCTGGCACACTAATACGTGGCCTTGGTGAACTCAACAAACTCTAAAGAATGAGGGGTAAACACATGTGTTGTAGCTCTTGTGCGTAGTTCAAAAGCTTTGCAAGCCATTTCTCTCAACCTGAATATACTCAGATTTAGATCTGTGTGTATACCAAGGAGGTGTTTGATGTAGGGGTGGAGGTTATGAATAAACAGTTTTTTGAAGTATTTATTCTCATCCATTCTCACTTCATTTTGTGATCCAAAAAAACGTACAAAGGAGGTCGTCGTAGTAAATCCGAGGATTTTTCTTTTCTACCTTGTTTGATGTCCAGCCCATGAATTAAACCAGGTGGACAGGGATTCCTTCTCCAATGCCTTGCAGACGAGGGAGTAGTCACTTTGGATTAACACCAAAGTCCATGCTCAATAATCCAGGTATAAAATCCAACATTGTTCATTCAGGTTATCTGGACGGTTTCTTTTTTTTTGGCTGAGACGTTTCGCCCTCCATCCAGGCTTCATCAGTCTGAGGAAACACCAAACAAAACTGATTCTCTCCCAACAGCTTATTCCAAAGTGGAAACAAAACAGTTATGTTGGTGCTAAGATGGTCTCTGGGGCACGCCTTTTCCTCCAGTGCCTGCCCTCTCCCTCATCGATAGTCATGTCAAACTGGTTCAAAACACCAAAGTCCATGCTCAATAATCCAGGTATAAAATCCAACAATGTTTACTTTAGATTAACTTTGTTTGGCATCTAATAAAGCCATGCATCTCTCTGTTGGAGGTGAGAATGCTCAGGTAGATCTTGTCAGACAATGTGGTGTCTGGAAAATGTTTGGAAAAAATGATCCAAGTCTTGGATGTTCATTTGAACATCATCATTACCATCAAGGTCAAACTTTTCTTAGACCTTTGCAAAACTATGCAGATCCTTGAATGTAGGTCTCAATTTGCCTTAAGATTATGCTTTACGGTTGTACTGTGGTCCAGCAGATTGTTGCACATCACTCCTGAAACTTTTCTCCATCCTGCCTGGACTCTCTTTTTCATCTCTTCACCACATTCCCCATTTTCTTGGACAGTGGACCCCAAGTACTTGAAGTCCTGCACCTTTGTGACCTCTGCTTCTTGTAACCTCACTGTTCCACCTCCTCCCTCTCATTCACACATGTACTCCGTCTTACTACAACTGACTTTCATTCCTCTTCTTTCAAGTGCATACCTCCATCTCTCCAAGTTCTCTTCTTGGTCTTCGACTAACAGTAGCACAATTTCTGCCAGCACTCTGTTTGTCAACAGCACCGGTGGTGGTCGTTGTTAACCTGGGCTTCGACCGATCCAGTATGGTGTCGCTTTGATGAGATAGCATATTAGTTTTGGCAAAAGTGTTTTACGTTGGATGCCCTTCTTGACACAACCCTCACCATTTACCCGGGCTTGGGAGCGGCACAAGGGATCCACTAGCTTGTGCTCCCTGGTAGCTGGTTTATTTTTAACTAGTTAAATAAGGTTAGGTTTTATTCTCCTCAAAGAAACCCTAACTGTCATGAAGTTAAAGGAGCTTCCAGGGTTAGTGTCCAATGTGTTTGATCTCCTTGTTACCCAGAAAGCAGATGAAAGTTTAGTTATTACCCAAATTATTTTATAGTTATAACTTATAAATTGTTCAAAGTCTGTGGTTATAAAGAACAAACAGTGGTGGCAGCAAAAAAGCAGCTACTGTCAGTCTGGCCTGACATCCTTCTAGGAATATATTTCTTCCAAAATAATAGTTTCATTCAAAATTAATGGCAATTTAGAATTACTTTAAAATCTTTAAAATAACATTCAAATCTATCTTTGTTTTAAAACTATAATAATCCCCTTTAATCCCAGTCGGACTAATCAATCCAGCCAGAATTAATCTGCTTCTCTAAAATGAATCTGTTCAAAGAGCTATCTACAACAGCTAACGTATTAATTGTTCATATTCTTTCCACAGAACCTGTCTTTAAAATATCTTAACTATCAGGTTAAATATGCATAAATATAGTTATTAAACCTTCCTGTATTAGGCCTTAGGAATGTACAGTATTTGCACGTGTTGGTTTATGTTCTAAACCTGATATGTAAGGTCACATTTTGTTGCAGGTGTGGAGGCTCGCAAAGTCTTTGATGACGCCCAGTTAATGCTTAGTCGTGTTATTGACCGAAGCAGTCTGAAGGGGCGGGGCTTGGTGGGTTTCTGGCGTGCTCAGAGTGATGGTGATGACATCAACGTGTACAAAGATGATGTTCCTGTTGGCAAAGACACAAAGCCTATGACAACGTTTCATGGCTTACGGCAGCAGGTAAAGAACTGTGTGTGTCTTCAGTTTCTTTATTTGATTCTTCTACTTCAGTTTAAAGGATTGTGATGGGCAGAGTTGGGTTTTGAAGTGTTTCTTAGTTTACACAGAGTTACTGAACTTTGCTGTTTGTGTGTTTTGCAGGCAGAGAAGGATGGCTCTAGTTTAGAGCCCTACCTGTGTATTTCTGATTTTGTGGCTCCTCTTGACAGTGGAGTGGCAGACTATATTGGAATGTTTGCTGTTAGTGTGTTTGGAGCTGAGGAGCTGTGTCAGCAGTTCCAGGCTCAAGGGGACGACTACAGCAGCATCATGGTGAAAGCTCTGGCTGACCGGCTGGCTGAGGTACTGTTCTCGGAATCTTCCTGGAAACCCAAAATATCCTCTACTCAATAACTTGTTCTGAACGTACCGGATGAAACCAAACGGGGAAATCAGTGTGTAACAAAACAAGAAGTATGTTGAAATTTTGGGCATTTTTTTGGTAGCAATACATACAACTGTCCAGTGCCAAGTATGTTTTGAGCAGTATTAGGTTTTATTATTATTTTTATTTTTCTTGTTTCGGCTGCTCCCTTCTTCAGGGGTTGCTACATCGAACTAAGTCGCACCAAGATTTGGCAGTTATTTTTTACACCAGATGTCCTTCCTGACACAACCACTGACCACCGAGCTACGTGGAGCAGAGAGCTGCTGCCTTGGTCACCATGGGGAGCAGATGGTGGAGGTTAAGGGCCTTGCTTAAGGGCCCAAAGTTGGGCAAATGAGAGTGGAGGCAGGTGTGGATGTTTCACCTTTTCCACCTGCATTTTGATGTTGTTGGTACCGGGAGTTTAAAAGGCAATCTTCCGATCACAGGTCCATTTTCTCTAACCTCTGCGCCACCGCTCCCCTAATGAGCAGTATTAGGTATTGCTACCAAATAAAATCTCTGTTTGTATGATCTCTTAGTATAAACATCATAACTCCTACATCATCCTATTTTTCTTCTTGTGTACATTTTGCCCTTAACCCACAAACTTTTACATCCCACACTGTCTTTGCTGCTTTTAATTTTACTTCTGTAACAGTGTTTCAGTGTCACATACAAGACTGGTATAGTAACCACAGGGTTTTGGGTCATTTTCTGTGTTTCTGTGGGGGCGAAGACATTTCTAGAAACTATTCTGTTTGCAAAGACATTTCTAGAAACAACAAACACTTTCATGTGTTTTGAATGTCCAGAGGACCAGATTTAACTTTTTTAGATTTTTCTACCTGGATTATTGAGCATGCATCAGGATACTTTCATGTGTTGTTTTTAAAATGTGTGTTTTCATGTGGACAAGGCCTCACAAATACCGAAACTTTCCAGATGAGGAAGTGGAGTTCTCAGCATATGAATTCAGCTCACTTAAATGGAGTGTCTCATGCAGTTTGAAGTTTGCAACCCGGCACGGTTCAGTTTGAACTTAGAAAGCTCTTTAGATTAGAGATGCACGATATTGGATTTTTGGCCGATATCCAATACGCCGATATGTTAAAAGTTATTTGGCCAATAATCAATACCAATATCGATATTTTTTCCCACTAGACCTACTTACAGAGAATACATAGCTTTCTCTGCTGTGGAATTAAAATACTACAATATTCTGCATGGTGTTTGTCAATTTGGTCTGCCACCAAATGCAGATGCCAAAACGGGGCTGAAAATGATGTAACACTTGAACTGAGATTATGTTTAATGTCAAATTTATTCATGACATTTACTCACTAACACAATGACAACACTCTTAACAGTGCAAATTTGTAAATGTTCACAAATCTAAACTCCGTGGCGCACGTGATGTCATAACATTGTGCTGGCAGTGCAAGCATCCTTGTCACTGGGTTGTAATACAAAAACGGCGCCTTTTTTTATCGGTGAGTTATTTTGATTTAATGGCCGATGTCCGATATTTAACTTTATCGCTAATATCGGCCGATACCATGCCGATATTATCGTGCATCCCTACTTTAGATGAGAAATGAAGTATCCTCAAGTTCATTTGCTTTGTTTTAAACTCTTACAAGATACCTCAGGGAGTAGATTCTTTAATAATTGAACTTTTACGGTCCTTTTTGTTCTTTAGGCATTTGCTGAGGAGCTACACACTCGTGTGCGTAAGGAGCTGTGGGGTTACAATACTGATGAGGTTTTGCAGGCCTCAGATCTTCACAGGGTTCGATACCAAGGTATTAGACCTGCTCCTGGCTACCCCAGCCAGCCTGACCACACAGAAAAGATTACCATGTGGAACCTGGCCGATGTTCTTGAGAAGACAGGTGAGATCTCTGAAACTCCCGTTGCTTTCTTTACGAAATGAAACACCAGTGGTGAACTGTGATTGTAAGAGCTAAACCTTCCTTCAGGATATAATATTGTAGCAACATAGTAAATGGTAACTTTGAAGACGCTACAAAGTCGCAGTCCGATAATATCCCTTTACTTTTAGTTTCACAACCCAGATACTGAACAGAAAATGTTTTCCTCCTTTTTTAACAAGTACAGCATCAGACTTGTGATGTGTGACCTGTGTTTTTGTTCTACCCACTCTACATTAACAATGTGATTGGTTCATTTTCCTGTTGGTTATTAAATAAGCTCATCCTGGGGGTACTTTGAGTGATCTCAGCCTTCTCTCCTGATAGTGAAGTACTAACCAATGAGAAAGAAACATCAAACCTGTTTATATATGTATATAATTTTTGAACTCGACATTAACATAATAAAACCCGAGTAGAACTCGAGTATATGATGACGTCATAGATCTCAAGATACAAAAATAAATAAATAAATAAAACCGCAAAAAAAGGTAATTATTTACAAAAAAGGTCCAACAAAACATTGGGAGCATATATTATGCTCCTACCATTTATCATACTGCAAATAAGTCACAGGAAAAACTAAACTATTAGTTATTATTATTAAACTGCAAACGTGAAGAAACATGCAGCACGTCAAAAACAAAACTGAAGCCGAAACTGGTTCTGGTTCCGTGGATTGGACCCGGTGTTACACCATACTCTGTGACCTGCAACAGTGCAACACCGCCCCCTACGCTCATACGGTGGTCACATAATATGACGTCACTAGGGATACCCGACCTTACATTTTTTTTTTTTTTTTTAATTAACATTTTTATTGAGAAAGCACAAAATATATTACAATGACATAGTTAAAATACAATGCTTTTGCTTTCTTATTTTTACCTTTTTTTTTAAGAAAAAAGAAGAAGAAGAAGAAAAAAAACAAAAAAAAAAAACAAACCAAAATAATACGAACACACAGGAACTGGGGTGAGGGTGGCGGGGTAGCCAAATTATAATCCCGTCATTGATATCACTGTTCAAGTTACTGCACCAATCTATATAATGGCAAGGTTTATATAAAGTCAGATCTCACAGGTTTAACATATTCCGTCCATTTAGACCATATTTTATAGAAAGTATCCCTTTGCACTTTGACAGAAAAAGACAGTTTTTCTAGTGTATAAATTTCTTTCACAACATCAATCCATTCTTCAATTCTTGGTGGTTCAGGTTTGAGCCATCTCCTTGTTAGAGCCTTTTTACTCGCAGCCAGTAAGATGTACAAAAGTTTTTTATCACTAGAGTTCAAATTGTCCACTGGCATGTTACACAAAAATATGCTTTCAAAAGTTAAAGGAAACACAGATGAAAAAACTTTCTGTAAATGTTCGTGGATCAAAGACCAGTATTGTTGAATAACTTGGCAGTCCCAAAAAATATGTAAATGGTTGGCCCCTTCTCCCCCACATCTCCAACAAGTATCCCCAGTTCCCTGATACCTTTTCTGAGCAGGAGTTATGAAAAATCTTATTATGTTTTTCCAACAAAATTCCCGCCAGACTTTCGATCCTGTTGTCATCCACTGTACCTTACATATGTGGTCCCAACTTTCCTTTGGAATTGACAGGTTACCTTCTTTTTCCCACTTCACTTTAATATAAACTGTGCTGTCTTTCTTACACCGCAAGATGGCGTTGTACAATCTGGAAATAATTTTATTTGCTGTTCTAGATTCAGTCAGTGATGTAAATGTTTCCACCAATCCTAGATTATGTAAAGGTACTTTCAGATCCTGATTAAAATAATTTCTAACTTGTAGATACCTGAAAAAATCGTCTGGGCCTAGATCATGTTTACCTTTCAAGATTTCAAAACTTTGAAGTGCCCCCTTGTGGACAAATGAATAATAGTTGGTTAGGCCTTTTAAAGTCCAGTTCTTGAATCTGTCATCATATTGATTTGGAGTAAAGTCTGAATCATAAGCACACCACCTTAAGATTTTAGAGACGTTTTCCAAACCACATATTTTAATTGCTTCATTCCAGGCAGATATCATTACTTGTGATATGGGTTCATCTTCCAAATGGATTTTCTTCTGCAATTTTTTATCAGCTATTATAGCTTGAACCGGTATTGTTTTGATAGTTGTCCCTTCCACATCTTTCCATCCCGCAGTGTAATCAGGACAGCACAAACATACCAGTGGTCTCAGTTGAGCTGCACAATAATATTCTCGTAGACAAGGGAGCCCATAACCCCCCTTTTCTTTCTTCAATTGTAAGGTTTTATATTTAACTCGGGCTTTTTTCCCTTTCCAAATGTATTTTAACAATATTTTATCCCATTCCCCAAATTGTTTTGAGGATATGGGAACTGGCAAAGACTGGAATAAATACAACATTCGGGGAAGAATATTTAAACCAATTGACTCAATCCTGGAATGTAGGTCCAAAAAAGCTATGGCATTCCATCTTTGTATATCCAAATTTAAAGCTTTATTCAGAGGGCCGTAGTTGGCCTCAAACATTCTAGTGGGTTCACGATGTATTACCACTCCTAAGTACTTAACACTGTCCCCGTCCCAATTCCAATCATAACTATCTTTAATTTCAGCCCGACCTTACATTTTTAACCTCGATAGATGTCCTAGCAATCGATGTGTAGATTACTTGAGTACTCTGTTAATGCCCTAGTGTGTGTATACAGGTCCTTCTCAAAAAAAAAAGCATATTGTGATAAAGGTCATTATTTTCAATAATGTAATGATAAAAATGAAACTTTCATATATTTCAGATTCATTGCACTCCAACTGAAATATTTTAGGTCTTTAATTGTTTTAATACTGATGATTATGGCATACAGCTCATGAAAACTCAAAATGCCTGTCCCAAAAAATTAGCATATCATGAAAAGGTTCTCTAAACAAGCTATTAACCAAACCATCTAAATCAACGACGTAACTCTAAACACCTGCAAAAGATTCCTGAGGCTTTTAAAAACTCCCAGCCTTGTTCATTACTCAAAACCGCAATCATGGGTAAGACTGCCGACCTGATTGCTGTCTAGAAGGCCATCATTGACACCCTCAAGCAAGAGGGTAAGACACAGAAAGGAATTGCTGAACGAATAGGCTGTTCCCAGAGTGCTGTATCAAGGCACCTCAGTGGGAAGTCTGTGGGAAGGGAAAAGTGTGGCAGAAAACGCTGCACAACGAGAAGAGGTGAC